ATTATTAGTTATTCCACGAAAACTACTATGGACCGGCATTAATGACTGGTTAGAAGAGGGTAAAATAAAGTGTTAAATACAATTAAAGCATTAACGATGCACATAAATATATACATTTGTAGCTAAGTATGTATAAATGTGCCTGCATATGCACTATGTAATACAAAATAACCACAGTTGTATTCCGCAGAAAAATTTTACGTTTCGCTGCACAATGGCAGAACTTTCAGCAAATAAATACATAGTTAAAACGCTTAAAGTCAAGAGAGAAAAGGTTTGTATTGGTTTAGTTAAATCGTTGGTTAAACGAAGCAACCAGAGTGCCAACGTTACCAAGTATATAAGGTATCCCAGTAAGAAATCAGTAGTGTATTGGTATTTTTCGTGGTTTTTAAATCTAACCTCTCTTTATACATATTTATGTACAGATTCAGGCGAAGCCCTCAGCCCAATCAAGTTTGCGTTGCCTGAGTTTCGCCAGAGTGGGGTATTGTAAGACACGAGATTGCAGATACACTTGCAAAGAAAGGAGGCATCCATTTGGCTTACAAATTTTTGAAATTTATATTTTTTCTTTAAAAAGTAAACTGCTCGGTCCGCATACAAATAATTTTGGGATACTCTTACATACAAATTTCAGCAATAATCAACTCTTGCCCCAGAAAAGTATCTGTTGTCTGAGGCATGCAACTCTGACCATAACAAAATTTTGATATTGACATTTTTAAGGAACACCCTAATGTATATTGATTCATATGGAGGTTCATCAATGCTTGCCAATTGTTAGACCAGACACTCATTTATCCATTTATCTTCCTAAACACATTTTCTACAGGGTTGCTTATGCAAAGCAAACAAGGATCAAAAGAGTTCATTCGGTTAACTGGTTGCGTTTCAGTAAAAGTCTGCACATACATGTGTCACGCGTTTGTCGCCTATAAAGTAACTTTATTTGACACATTGTTTTTTCTCTTAAATTTTTTTTTCACAGCCTCATTCATCACTGTCTGTGCACAATTGCGTGTTTTGTACTAGTAGCAACACGTGCGCAGGCGCAAAGCTTCAAAACAAAATTTGTCGCCACAAATTTATTTGTACTTTCCAAATATTATGGTCAATTTTGTCAAAGGCTTTTTAAGAGGAAATTTCACATTTATGTGAATATATTAAAGAAATATTTAAATTTTTGTGTTTGCTTTCTTTTCAACACCAACCAAAACCACAACAATGCTTTGAGAGTGTTAACAGGCGACGATAACAATCCATTGCCACCTTTGTAAATGCGGCAAAGCTAGCTAGCTGGCTGAATGGGTACGTCTATATGTTTTACACACATGTATATACATACATATGCACATAGATCACATATGCATTATTTGCATAGGTCAAATATGCATTACAAAGGCATTTATTTTTCTATACTTCTTCTCTTCGAAATCCATGGCCATGCCGCCACCCGCTTACGTATTTAGCTGTATTTGTTGTGTTTAAAATTAAAAAAAAAAATTTAAATCATTTACTATTCTTCGTGACTTATGTTATCAGTGAATGGGTTTGCTTGTCTGCCAGGTAAATACTTCCTACTCCTAAATAGCGGCATATTGAATAGACGCTTCGAAATTAAAGCCGATTACCCTGCTAGAGGATATGGAGAGTAGACCCTACCGGGTGATTGCCTATGCGGACCTGATCACAGATAAATACAAGGATATGTCAGAACAGATGGTCAAGGCAGCGTTGGCCTACCTAAAACTGCCTTGGTAGTCGAATTCCTTATTTCTAAGGGTTTGACCACTGGAGCCTTGAATTAAGTCAATCTTTGTCTAGACAAGTCACAAAGAATGTGTTCGGAAGTTTCCTTATTTCCTAGTTAAACTTACATGGGTCATAGTGATACGGCATGAAATGCCCTGCGGATGAGTTGGCCAGGAAAAGCAGAGTCAACCTCACCATGAAAAGAAAGCTGATCTTGGATGGGTAAGATTCTAGGGCATGTGCAACTGCAAGGGCTTTCAGGGATCTTATTGGGGCTCATAAAGCCGCAACTCTCAATTATGTCAGGTGTATTGACAGGACACTGTCCAATGGGTATTTATGATGATGGGACTAAATACCATCACCGGAAGCCCACTGTCGCAGCGGTTTTTCTTAAGCTGTCCAGCTTTTGGGAGGCTACGGTGTAAACATTTTGGATCGCAATTTTTAAATGCACCCGAAGAGAACTCCCAGACAGACTTCGCTCTTGGCATACAGCGTCTTTCGCTATAGCTTAGCAGTTACCGGTAGTGGTATTACAAAGGAGTGATGTTTATAATCAAATACATATGTATGTATTCCAAGAAGGTCCCCAATTGGGGCAACCACTTGAACCTAACTTAGCCTAACTGCCGGTTTCACGAAAGCAATTTAAGTGAAAATTAGTTTTTCTGCCAGTTTCCATATTAAATTCGGGGTTATTGATGTTTTATTTTTCGATATTTTTTTAGATTTTTTTTTTTCGTTTTTTTCTCGAGACGTTTCGGTATTTTTTTCCGAATTAATTTGTGACTTTTGGGGTTTACGGTTTGGGAAGCGATTTTTCGAGTGTTTTCTCGACGCAATTAAGGATTTTGCGGAAAATAGTATCTATTTTCTTTTTTATTTAGGTGTTGATGCTAAAATAAGAGGTTTTGGGATTTTTCGGTTTTTTCTATCGGGTTTTTTTTTGTGATTTTCAGAACGTATTTATTCTGCGTATCTTCAGGTCGTAAAGTAAATTTTAATTTGCCTTTTACGAACGATAAAAATAAAAAAAATAAAATGTAACCGGATATTCTCTTCTAAAAATAATGTCCGATAAGTTTCTGTCAAAAATAATTTTTTTAAGCCCACTTAGCCTTAGCCTTACTAAATACCATAAAAAGGGTGTGCACAGGGCATCGATAACACTTTTACAGAAGAAGAAGAGTACCTAAATATTTCCACTTTTGAACACTGTGCGACAGTCGTTGTCAATCAAATGCAAATCGATTTTTTTCTACTTTGTGGGTGTTTATTTATAAGAGTATATTAATGCGGAATATTTGTGAGTAATATCAATGTATTTGTGTATGTATTTATATACTATAACTATGCCCCTATGAATAGAACGTTTTTGAGGGAGTGGCCTGCTCTGTAAATTTGAATTTGCATGCGATCATGAGCGCACAAGGCCAAACAAACGCCAAAAAAAGACAGCACAACAACAATAGAAATGGTGGTAATAACGAATAATTGGCAGCAAAAACATAAAATAGCAAATAAAAATTCAATAAAAGCAAATAAAGATAATAACACAAAGTTAACAAAACAAGAAAAATTATATAAAATATTTAGTGAATGAAAGCAAAGCAAATTTTAGTGAAAACGAAGAACAACAAAAACAAAACAAAATAAAATAAAAATGTTGGCTAAAATGCATGACATTAAAGAAATGCTAACGCTTCTGGCTAAAACAAGATCAATCAGAAATGCCGATACATACAAGAGCTAGCACATACTTACTTGCGTTAAATAAACGCTCAAGCTAATGAATGAGTGGTAGGAAAACTTTCCATGTCCAAAGCCGCGTATGCCTACAGCAAAAGTAGATATTCGTTCAGCAGCTTGGCTGCTTCAAAAAAGACCTAAGTCGACGACAGCTTCTGAGCCAAATCGGCAGCTGATCGAAAGTTGCCTCAGTTAATTGTTGCTTAGCTGCGTACAACATACCTAAATACATAACTACATATGATAGTTAATACATACATATGAACATATGTAGCTGAGCGCGCGCATTTAACGTTGGCTGCCAGGAGTGGTAAAAAGTTGGTGACGATCGGCGAATGAGTAATATTTATGATTTTCTATGATCGCCGGCATAGGATGTTGAGTTGCTGAATGTGAGGAATGAATAGCCGCTGAATGTGGCAACATACATAAATGTGGTATTAGCCATAATAAATAGCTTGCTGCTGTTGTTGCCATGAAACTTGTATTAATGCAACATAGATTTCATAGATGTTGCCTGCCTGTCGCTGGTCTGGAGTCCGTGCTCAATAACCGCTGTAATGACCGGAAGCTGTTAATACATACACCAATTTTGTTATTACTTTCAAAGTAAGTACTAACTTGGTGGTGATGATGGAGGCATATAGTTATGACCAAGTATGTATGTATGTATATTAGGGTGCCTCACAAAAAATTAAATTTGGTATTTCCACCGCAATTGTAAAATATAATTTGTTTTAAGGCTGCTGGCAAAATATTTCGGGAATATGTTAAGATTTACGTGAGCTGGACCGATATAAAAATATTTTTAAAAGTAAAATTTTTTGATTCCATTGATGAAAGTTTTATACATTTTTATGCAGACCTTTCAAGCCGAAACTCTTCTATCATCTGTGGTGACTTTTTAAAAAAACTTATGAAACTATTCAAAATATAGAAACATCTATAATTCCATTTGGAAACTAGTACCGATTTTTTATTTTTTTTGGGCGATGGAGCCTAATGTATTTAAAAATATGTACAAACAGCAGCGGTCAAAATAATAGTAGCAAAATTCAAAATGATATTAATTGCAAGTCAAGTGCTGTTTATTTATTGATTTTTAATAATTTTCATTTAAATTATAGTTCGATCTATAACAGAAACCACAGAAATATAGCTTTCAGTCAAACTTCAAAATAACTTTCCGTCAAAATGTCAAACTTTTTATTCAGAATTTAATATTCGTTATGCAGTTTTGTAGCCCATTTAATTTTTGTATAATAAAGGTAAAGTCACTAAAACTGACCGTTGATTTTTAACCGATTTCAAGAAAGGTGGAGGTTATCAATTCGTCGGAAAATTTTTTTTTTGATCTACCGCATAACTTTGGACGTCGTTAACCGATTTCTATGATCCTTTTTTTAAGGAAATGTGGTACCTACGAGGTGGTCCCATGCTAATTGGTTTTATTTTTTGCTTGAAAATTACTTGTTTAGAAATTTTTTGGCGAGTGTGTTGTGCCTTTCTTCTATAGAAAAATATAATTCGTTTATAGGTTACATGGATGGAAATACTGAACACCCTCAAAAAGAACAAATTGCAAAATAATCAACGGTAATTTTTAGTGACTTGAAACTTGCACTTTATTGTATTAGAATTGAATGGGCTACAAAACTGCATACTCGAAAACTTTCTAAACATTCTGAATAAAAAGTTTCTAATTTTGATTTGTGAACTTTGTATAATTTTTGAGATTTTTATTTCCGTGGTTTCTGTTATAGATCGAACTATATTTTAAATAAAAATTATTAAAAATAAATAAATAAACAGGAGTTGCAAACAATATCAGTTTAAATTTTGCTACTATTATTTTGACCGCTGCTGTATGAATGCTCAGATACACATTTTTTTTCATTCATACAACAGAAAAACATGCCAAGGCACTTTGTTAACTCGCATTCCTGCTTTTTACGCACCTTTCTCGATAACTTTACCGGGTACTTGTGTATGTATGTATGTATGCATCTGTATGCACATATGTTTGTATGCGTTTTTTCTCTATTTACTGCAAGTTGTTATTTACTGAAGCTGTGTCAGCTCATAAGACTATGTATATACGGGTATTATGTTTTTGTACTCACCTGTTATTCTGACTTTCTTCGCTGTTGTTTGTAATTTTCGTTCTTGGTTTGTTGAATCTTTCTAGAAAAAATATTTTCTTGAAGTCAGAATAGCATTAATCACAAAATATGATTATTACGCTGCTGCTATAGACACAGGCCAAAGGTAATCAAAACTACAGATTAAGTTAGAATTTGAAGCGTGTTGATAAGCTCAATGGTATTCAAAAATAAATAAAAAACTATCTAACTTGGAAACGTAATTTTGAAAGCAGAGCTTGTAATAAAGTGAAAAATAAGTCGTCTGTTGCTTATAGTTTGAAGCGATCGTGCGTCTGATGCTCGATTGTGGAGAGGTCAATGCAGCCACATATGTACACTAGGCTACAAATGAAATGTTCTAATATAATATTCACAATTATTTTTATGAAATATCAATTGTATTAATTATTTATGAAAATATAGTCCATTATAATATAAACCACATAAATTAAAGTTTCACACTTTATATAGAGGTCACAAAAATTCAAAAAATGTTCAACAAAATCATCAACTTTTTAATCAGAATCTCTAGAAAATTTTGGAGTATGGAGTTTTGTAGCCGATTCAATTATGTATAGTCAAATGGTGTGCAAGTTCCAAACGGCTACGAAATCAGGTTGATTTTTGAGAATTGTTTTGGTGACAGATTTTTGCACTTTTTTCCATAAGTAAGCATGAATTTCTTATGAAATAAAATGCGGGAGACCGTTAGCAGAATAATTTCAAAAAAAAAAACAACACTAGTTTTTGTAAATTGCACTCGTTATATGTATATAAAAACCCGCAAAAGCAGTCTCAAAAAAAAAAATTCAAAAATCTGCACAAATCTTTTACCGGTTGAAACTTACAGTTCATTAGACTAAAATTGAATGGGCTACAAAACTGTATACTCGAAAATTTTCTAGAAATTCTGAATAAAAAGTTGAAAATTTTGATGAAAGTATTTTTAATTTTTGTGAACTTTATATAAAGTGTGAAACTTTGATTTTAAATGTAAACCATTTACACTATAATGAACTATATTTTCATAAATAATTAGTGCAAACATTTTTGCAAGAAAATAATTGTGAATAATATATTAGAGCAAGGTGTACACTTTAGGTTGTCCCCTAGTGTACATATGTACATTTGCAAATATATAGGGTGTTGTTTTAAGAGCTGCAAAAGTTTTAAATTAAACAAATGTAAGCTTAAGATAGGAAGCCACCGTCTCGCAGGCCTTTGGCTCGGGTTAAATGCAAAACTATTTACCAGCACAAAAAAACCAACTAAGAATGCGATGTTTAACTCGAAGCTGGACCTAAAATGATCATTATCGATAACTCCGATGAATAGTGATTATAATAACTTTATAATTTTTTAATTTTAATTATTTGTTTATAGAAATACAGTTTATTCTTTAACAAAAACCATATAAATCCGAGTTGCAATCTTTGTTCAATATTTATAAAAAAATTAACAAATTTTTGTAAAAATTTCAAGCATTTTAATTAGATTTCTTAGAAATATTTTCAATATGCATTTTTCTAGCCCATCCAATTTTAGTATAAAAAAGTGAAAAAGTGAAAGTGAAAAGTGAAGCTGGGCCTTACCGTTCATTTTTGGCAATTTTTTGTGCTGAAGATGTTGCTCATTTTCTCCATATAAAAAATCGCCGACATCGTCAGCAAAAAATAATCAAGTGTCGCGAAGTGTATGTACGCAAACCTTTTTAGCAGGCAGCTTGTAAACTTAATGAAGAATAAATTGGAACTGACTACTGTGAAGCGATACAACTTAAAACATTATCTAAAAGTCGCAAAGGTATACTTTTGTTATTTAGTTCTAGAACAACTAGTATGCATGCCCTAAGTATGTATGTGGATTATATGGATGACAGAGCACCCTTTATTTAAGCATATTCCAATTATCAGGCGATTGCCTTTCTTCGGCATACGCATAGTCACAGCTTTAGGCCATCCAATTATCTGTCATTATTTAGGAAATTTATTGCTTATTTTATTATTTTGTTTTCAGCATTTACGATCCAATTAGATATTTTGCTTATTATTTTTCGTATATGTATAATAAATATGATGTTTTTTATTTCAAAAGGAAAAACTAACCACGTAAATATTGCTGATTATTTTAATTGATAATACGAAGTTACACATACAGATACATATAAATTTTTTGTGGAGATCTTTAGCGTTTTGCTTTTTAGAGCAATCAGAATATAATAATAAAGGGTAAAATGTCAAAACTAAACTTTATTGTTATCAAATTACGAGCATGCAAGCGATTTGAAGCGTAAGCCCTAAAGTCATTCAAATGTCATAAATTACAATCCTTTGACCATTCTAATATCAGGGTGGTACTAAAAGAATTTTAACATCATTGGACATCCCTTTATTTTGTTTTACGTTCAAAATAAAGACATCCACAAAAAATTTAAAATTAAAAAAAAATCTAAATCGGAAAAATTCGACAAAATTTATCAGATTTAAAATAAAAATTCTGTCGAATTTTCGGGACTAAAAATGTCTATTTAAAATTTTTGAAATTTTCTTGACGCTTTTATTTTATACGTAGAGTTTAGATGTTAATATTTTTAAGGACCACCATAACATACCTAAATACATAGGTACTCCATATACATACTTACGCACATGCTGTCTATGTATCTACGGGTGTAATGGAAAGTAATCTGTAAAGCTGTTTAAAACATAAATATTTAACTTTTGTTAATTTAAATGATTATTTCCGAGAACTTCGTTTTCCTTTTTTAATGTTTTATTGGATCATTTGGTTTCATATTTTTGTAAATCTTTTCGAAATTTTGACGAGCTCTGAGGTAGGTGGAGGTGGATGTGGTATGGTTTTGATAATACGAGAGGTCAGTCAACAGCTTATAAAATTTATTTTTAATATTTTCGTTAAAGTACTTAAATTGCATTTTAGTTATGAAAAGGTTTTGACTTACCTAAGCAACTACGTACATATGTACATATGTAACCAGTTTATGGAAAATTTGAATAGGAAAAGCAGACAAAACTTGAATAGGTCGATTAGAGCTTTTAGTTTTAAGATTACCACATTTCGTCAGATTCTTTGTGCTGAGCGCAAATGCTTCGATTGTATGGCAGTCATATTTCCATTGGCTGGCACAGAGACGATAGACTATGCTATGATTCCCTTTTCTTGAAGATAAGCGGTTCGTCAACGCTATGGCACGCAGTCCATCAGTCCAGCTAGCTGTGAAAACTCTTATAGTTCTCCTACAATGTAGACCTTTTGATTTCGACGTAATGTTTTTTTTCGTTAATAATTTTCGTACATACCTACATACATACATATCGTCGTTTAAAGTGCAAAACCGCGTATCAACAAAATGCAAAACCGCGTATGTGAAGTTGTAGAAATTGTTTTCTAGAGCGTAAAAACACTCATATTTCAAAATGGTTATCTTTTTTATAAAGCGATGTCGGTCTGGTGAAGTCGTTTGGGTGAACTCGAAACGACGTCAAATCGGACTAATTTTTTTCATAAAAATTTGTTTACTCTATTACACTAAAGTTTAATGAGCTATAAAATTGCTTTATATTTTTTCTTTTAATTCAGATTGAAAAGTTTGAAATTTTTGCGAAAGCTTGCTGATTTGTTTTTTAAATATTGCATACAATTTTAAATTATATTTACATATATGGTTTTGTTAAAGTGATGCCAGACAATCTGTGTTAAATTACCCAGTAGTAAAAAAGTAACATTCATATATTTACCTTAATTTATGTACATATCGTCACCTAAGGGTGACCATTTCTTTAATTTTTTTAAATTGTTCAGGAAGGACGAAAAATCGATGTAGTGTAACCTGCCATTCTGCACCAAAAACAAAAGTTTGAAAAAAATGGACTTGGCACGTTTTCACCTTTAGATGGCAATCCACATATAATATTCTTTCGAAATTCAAAGGTTGGTTGACTACTCACTAAAAGTTGATTTTTCTTCAAATAGGAAAATTACTGACAATCTGGCATCACTGACACGAAGTTGTTTGGCAAATTTGGTATGAATACGCTATTAATAACATCAGAATCATTGACGAAACAATCAACCACTCATTTGTTCTAACTAACTATGCATACTTTTCTTGCAAAGCAATAACCTCACAAGCGGGGAAGCCAACTCGTGGGGAATTCCCCGATTTGTGGAGAATCTCAGTTTGCGTGCGGAATCGGGGAATGGACCGTTTTTGTGGGGAATCGCGGGATGAACTGCTTTTTTTTTGTGAGGAATTAGGTGTTAACTAATATTTTCTTTTTTGCTTCACTAATTTCATAATGAGTTAAAAAAGTTGCATTAGAAATGCAACTGCAACTGCAAATTATGCAAATTACTGTTGATTTTTTTAGAAATTTCTTTGTCTCAGTTGCTTTCATATAACGAATAAATATAATTTATTTTTATATGCGAGAAAACCGCAACACCTGTGGTAAAAAAAAAATCCAAACCAAAATTTTTAGCCACTTTAGCTTTGTTGTATTAGCAGGGCACGGCTTTCGTACGAAAACGGCGCACAGTGTAAGATTTGACCCATCTAGCTGCTTTTAATTCTGTAATTCGAAATCTATTGAAGATAGATTAATGAAATTTTGCACAAGGTACGTTATAAGATAGGCGAAGCTTTTTACAAAAAATTGGTAATTTATAGTTACTGTCATGCCACCCTATTATATAACTGCAATTTTTAAAAATGCAAAAACTGAAATATTTAACTAACTACAAAGGCTAAAATGCCCAAAATTGATATTTAGAATTTCCCTATAACAAGGAATTATAAACTGACAGAAATGGACTTAAAAATAAATATATTTTTTTTTTTTTAGTTATGGGCGTGGAAAATATCGATAAAAAAATCAAGTTGGGTCAAAGAAATTCCGTTATAAGTTCAATATTTCTTACTCTATTTACAGAAATGGGATACCATTGGAAAGGTAATGAATCAGGCTTTCTCTGTTGAAAACGAATATATAAGAATTTGTCTCGGTCGAGATAAAATGCAAGCGAATTACTCGAGGAAAATGAAATTCCCAGTAGGCCAGAAAAAAGAAAATTTCATCAAAACCTGCACTTTCCTGCAGCTAAAATTATGTTGTTTAGAGTCTAAGAGGAGTGGCAAATAAACTGAGATACAAACTTTATCGAATAGTGGCGGATAACGAGTTTGCGGGTCTAATGAAATTAATAAATTGCTAAAAATAAGTTTAAGTTAACATCGTTTTGCTTTAACATGAAATACTCAGTCCTAGTTTACTAAAATCCCAAAAATGTATATTCATTAAAAAGAACATACCCAAGCAAATAAGACCAAAATGGTATTTTAGTAATTGTTGCATAAATCACATAACACCGACAAAATAAGCATTGAGATTCAGTTTCAAATATACAAGTTTAAATATTATTGTGCTCGGTAATTTTCCAAACCAAACCCCGTCCCGCCATACACTTTGATTAAAATTTTTTAGTTGTTATTGTTTCGTCTTTATCAGGCATTTCTGAAAACATTCTTGACGTTGTTTTCAAATTTGGCGACATAAAATAATGGAATTAATCTTTTCTAGAATACTGAAATGATACACTGTGCGGCGTGCGCTTATATTAGGTTGTTACTAAATCTTTATGACTGCCCAAAAACGAATGCAGTTCCCTTATTAAATGTTGTTCTTGTAAATGAGACTGGTATCACCATCTGCTCACTAATAGCACGTTAAGCAAGATTTCAAGGGCAGTTATATCAAAACTACAGCACAGTTTGAGATGCACCACCAAAATACACTGTCGGAATCGGTTCGGTAGGAAATGGGGTTTGAAAGCCACTTGGTATGCACATTGAATGAGGTTTGTGTCTATGCCAAATGTGAACAACAGCTTCAAAACTTACAACGGAAAATAGATAAAGCAGAGAAGTACAGTAGATTTCCGCAAAGATATTCAAACTGTAGTCGAATTTTTTATAGTTTAGTGGGGAATCTAATAATCATAAAACCTCTTGTTTTTCGTGCTATAAAATGGGAAATAAGATTTGTATATAATTTATCGTTTATTTTTTTGATTGATAATTTCTCTTTTTTCTTGATATATTTTTATTTACCTACTTTTAACACATTTTCAGTAAACATTTTGATAGTCTTTTTACTATATAAAATATACTAAATTACTGGGCATATTTCAAGATAGCAGATTTATGGTAGGTATAGAAAATTGTGGCGGGATTTTTTTTACGCGTATTTAAAACTGTTTTAAACTTCTGTTTAAGCAGGAATTTCTTATTTTCTGTCGAAACCTTTGTTCGTTGGTATTTGATAATACAAATTTCTCCTTATTTTTTAAACCTTTTAAATACGTATTTTAATAAAAAACAACTCATTTATTCACCTCATAAAATTCAACAATCCGTGTCCGTTAAAGGTAAACTTTTGCCAGCTTTATTTGCTAGCCGCAAACAAATAAATCTTATATGGAAACGTTCCGCCGAAAAGTCGTTAACCACTTGAATATGTATGCAAATACTAATCGGTCTGTATACATACATACATACATAGATGCATGTGTACGTTTCTTTGTATGCAAAAATACGACTTGTATTATTTGTAAAATTTCCTCAGGTTAAGTGACGGCTAAATATTGGTAGCGCCCTTTATCGCGTATGGTCGCGAATGTTGCTATATCTACTATATGCATATGTACATATGTACATTATGGTGGTCCAAAAATGCGCGTAAAAAAAGTCGGAATTTTAATGCTCTCAACTCCAAGGATTATTCTATATCAGCATTGGGCAGAGAGAGCTTTTACTCTGCTCGCGCCTATACAAAATGTATAGAAAGCTTAAAAGAGCTTTGCCCGCGGGCAAGGTAGTGCCCATCAATGTTCTATATCAGCGGTGGGCAGAGAGAGCTTTTACTCTGCACGAACCTGTACCATAGAAAGCTCAAAGGAGCTTTTCCTGCGGCCAATCACCGTTCTATATCGAAAAAATACATGCCCCTGTTTTTTTTTTATTTTTGAAATCGAAAAATATTCGCTCAAGGCGCTAATAGCTTTCCATGTATTTTATATGAGGAAAAAACTAGTTTTCATGGAAATAGGTAGTATAAAATTCTTGAAAAGCAACATTTTTCGATCGGAAAACTGTGTTCATCTTCAGAAGACTTCAGGGAATAGAACCCAATTGTTTATTTGAAAATTTCTTAATGCTAACAATTTTTTATGGGCCCCTCCAGCATTTCTTTGGGGTTTTTGGGAGCCCCATAAAAATAGTTAGAAATGGTTAAAAAAGCATTTGGAAATTATTATTGGAAGCGCAACAGCATTTTCCGTTCAAAAAGTACTGCTTTTAAAAAATTTTACACTCTACGAAAAACTGTTTTTCCCCATATGGGAAACACGACCCCTAAATATTTTATGATTCCAAACAGGGTATGTTATTTCCGATGTAGAACAATCCAAGGGGTATAGCATTACAATTCCGACTTTACTGTTTTTGGACCACCCTAATGTAAAGACATTCGTACATAAATACATATTTGTGGACTTTTAACGGAACAACGTACTGGATTTTCACATTCAAATTTTGGATTCTAATTTAGATTTTATTAAAATGCCATCTTTGCCAATGATTCTTTGCTCGAAAAAAATAAAGATTCTTGTATTTGTAATGCTTTATTACCAGTACTGCATACCCATATTTTCTGATTATTCGTAAAGAACGCCCAACTACCATGGCGTAATGGGCTCGTTGTACTCTATAGCAGACACTATCCGATTTACAGTGAGGTATAAAGGTAACGCATATGTATGTATATGTATGTACAGCATAAGTGCATTGAAGCCTGCAGCTCGTCATTTTCTTATTTTTTTTTTTTTGCAAAAGCATCTCAACAAAAATATTGCCACGATTGTAGGTACTTTATTTGTCAACGCATGCGCGACTCACGATTTGTATCAACAAATACAAGTGTTCGCAACTCCAAAATAAATGCTGCAAACCATTCGCGCACTCAAATGCAATACATATGTATGTAAATATGTACAAATGGTACGTACTTATATACTTACAAGCATAAAAATAAATCTTTCTAGAAGTCATCAAAGTGGTTGCTGATAAAGCAAAATTATTTTGCACGAGCGGTGCAAAAATCAGTGTAGTTGTCCGATAGCCCAGCAAAAATTTGTGTGGAAATCAGTTAGTTCCCATTAATCCCATACAAATACAATTTAAGATAAATTAGTCATCGACTGAACTATTTAAATTTTCATTTTTATTTTCAAAAAGCTATGAGACTTTTCATATCCGTTCAGGTGTAAAATGTACAGCAGGCCAGATGACAGAAAAATTGGTCAAAATCGCTGCTTGACTATTTAAACGAGAAAAAATCAGAAAAATATATTTTTATGGTATCTAAGGTATCAAAATCCGTGGCATATAGAAAAGTACCAGATGTCCAAAAATTAAAAAAAAAGCCGAGAAGACATATTTTTTTTTGTACGTAAGTACTACATATTTTCAAATTGTGGAAATAGTGGATGGTCAAAATTTAAAAAATTCTTTGAAATTCAAGCAAAAATAGTCATTCAAAAACTCATGAATCTAGAAAATCGTAATTTCTCACCTAAATCGACAGGCCGAGACCTCCTAAATGGCCTTTAAAAAATCTATAAAAATAGGCAATAATATTTCTCATAAAAACGAATCAAATTAGGGGGGGTAGGGTCTTTAAATTTTCGATGGGAAACCTAATGTGTATACTATATAGACTTTCGAGCCCATCCATCAGCAGCAGTCACTCAACATTTGAATTCAATGAATGAATTAAATATAATTATAATCTGATGACATGATAAGATTGGAAGCCTCATGGCTCTTTGGAATCAACCTTATGGGCGGTAGCGCCGGCATTTCCAGACGCGCCGGAAGTTGATCACGCCGCCGCCGCAAAGCCTGTCGGCGTAAACCTCTAATTCCCATCAATAGTAATATTTTATCTCTTTTTAAATAAAAAAAATTAAATAAATATGCTATTCAAAATATGTGGCAACCCTATTAAAAATATTTTTGAATAAGGAATCTTTAAAATACCTTCCATTTGATACCCATATTATGATGTTTTAATCAATTTGTACCTAATTTCGAATAGGTGGCAACCTTATACGAGTCTTCTCGGAGATAATGCCTATTCAGATAACCTTAAAATCCAAAACATTATCTGTGTACAAAATTTGTATCAAAATCAAATGAGATAGATAAGATAGATGCGATCAGAGAGGAGGGTTACTCATACGCCGTGTATCGTACCTGTTCATAGACGCAGCCGCGTTTTCTTAAAAATTAAACAATTAATTAGAAAAAGCGCAAAATAACAGCCGATTTTTATTTTTTTTATTTTTTTATTTATTTATTTTTTTTAGCGGTGGCTAGCATTTAGCGATAATCGGAATTGTTTACTTATAAGTATATGTAATTTTTATTAATTCAAATGCGTTTTAAACCAAAAACAATATATTTGTTTACATTACTTTTTCTAAGACTTACTATTGATAATTTAAACAAATTCAAGAGCTAGATCTGTAGTTTTAAAATTTACTAATAAATTAGGCTTACAAACGCTTTTTCAGAGTTTCAGAGTGAATTCCGAGTTTCAAATGTCATAATATTTTGTTTTTGCATACTTCAAGGTATGTGGATTAAATAAGTTTATTGTTTTAAACTTTTAAATACATTGTCTTTTTTTGGCACTTTTTCATTCTTCTGGCCCACTGTGCTTATAAAGATATCAAAAGTGATATTGGTTGCATTTTCAATAGCGATTATTTCCGGGGCCACCCCCAGCCTAGTTGCATTTGTTGCAGGGTTATGACTTAAACATATTATCAGTTCTGACTTAAGGAACGATGTACGAGGGGTGTGATAGAGGCACTGACTGTACAACAACAAAAACCAAAGAGTAAAAAACTTCAAGAAGAAAAGAGAAAAAAGCTAGCACAACCCTCAGATGAATTTAAGTGTTTCAAGACTTCGTAAATTGGATGGGTTTAATTTATGTATAAATTTGACTAAATGTTGAAAACTTTGACTTATGATACTCATCTCTAGAAGCTTTGTAAATAATGTCTACATATGTTCAGGCTTTAAGCCTATAGAGCAGTGGTGCGCAGAGAGAGCTTTTACTCAATAGGCGCCTATACAAAATGTATGGAAACTTTAAAAGAGCTTTGCCCGCGGGCAAGGCGGTGCCCATCAGTGCTATAGAGCTTTCTAAAGCTTTCCATAGCTTTTATGTGATCGCGTACTAAGTTAAGCCACCTCTGGTCGTTGCTAAGTTGCCTTTCGTAATTGCATACATCTTTTTAACCTTTAAGGCTGTTAAGTTTAGTCCACTGACGGGCACCACCTTGCCCGCGGGCAAAGCTCTTTTAAACTTTCCATACATTTTGTATAGGCGCACATTGAGTAAAAGCTATCTCTGCTCACCACTGGTTTAGATACGTCAAAAATATATTCCACTAATAAAGTTCCTTAAAGGGGTCTATAGCGGTAATGGGCTCTTTTAAGCTTTCTATACATTTTGCATAGGCGCTTGCAGGGTAAAAACTCTCTCTGCCTAGCGCTGGTCTATAGCTTTTATATGAGCGCAAAGCTCTCTCTGGAATGGGAAAAAGTTTATCTCATAGTGCCGGCCTGTATGAGCTTTTTTAAGTGGTGTCCTTTAATTTTTTTAGCCTTATAGTCTAACTCAGCCACGACCAAAAAATATACCACGGTGGAAGCTCATTGAAGCTTTCCATAGCTTTAATATGGGTGCGTACAGAGTGAAAGCTCTCTCTCATCATCAGTGAGTAAGTTTCACTAAATTTTGTTTTGTTTCCGAATTATACAAGAAAAAAACATGCCTTCTACTTCAACATAGAAAATTTT